TTGCTTCAATATTGGCAGAAAGACTTAAAAAAATACTTAAACAAAATGGATTTCTGCCAAAGAGACAAATTAAAGACAATATGAGAGGAATCTTGGACACTTTGGAATACTACGAGGCACACCCTGAAAAACAAATGGCTTTGATATTTCTAGATGCACAGAAGGCATTTGATCATGTGAATTGGCGATTCATGTTACTACAGCTGGAATAGATGAGCTTTGGTTAAAAAAAAAATATTCAAGCAATAGAAGCTATATATCATAATCAAACGGCAAAGGTAATGATAGAGGGAGAAGTGACAGACTCTATTGATATAAGAAAAGGAACAAGACAAGGGTGCCCACTATCACCTCTGTTGTTTGTGTTAACCTTGGAAGTGCTAAACAGAAATATTAGAGAAGAAAAGGATATAAAAGGGATGAAAATTAAAAAGGAAGAATTTAAGTTGCAAGCATTCGCAGATGATCTGGTTTTCATTTTAGAAGACCCACTAGAAACAGCATCAAAATTGATAGAAAGGATAGAGGTATATGGAAAGGTGGCTGGTTTGAAAATAAATAAAGATAAGACAAAGATCTTGACAAAGAATATGCTATCAAGACAAAAGGATCTATTGAAAATCCAGGTCACAAATAAGATCAAGTACTTGGGGATACATTTGACAGCAAGATGTAGTACACTAAAAGAGAATAACTATATTAAACTTAAGCAGCAGATAGCGCTAGATTTGGTGAAATGGGAAAATTTATAACTGTCATTAATAGGGAGAATATCAACAATCAAGATGAATATACTACCCAGAATTTTATATTTGTTCCAAAAAATTCCAATTAGGCTTGGAAAAGATTATTTTGAAGATTTAAATAAAATTGTGTTGAAATATATATGGCAAGGTAAGAAAGCGAGAATAAAGTTAAAACTTTTGCAAGATGCCAGAATAAGAAGAGGATTTGGTTTGCCTAATTGGGAGTTGTATTACCAAGCTACAAATTTGATGTGGGTTAAGGAATGGATAACATTAATACTAGATTGTTGACATTAGAAGGCCATGGTCTGTTGTTGGGGTGGCATGCTTTTCTGTGGTATAAAGGAACTAAAACACAGGAGTATTTTAGAAGACATTATATATGGGAGTCTCTGTGGTTAAACTGGGAGAAGACTAAAAGACAATGTTATTTGAAAATTCCAGTCTGGCTATGGACTATTGAAGCATTTTCTTATCCTATAATATATAAAAAGGAACAAACAGTTAGATATGGTGAAATATTGAATGAAAAGGGTGAACTTAAATCTATGCAAAAATTAGAGGAACAAGGTATAAAGATGAATTGGTTTTCATATGCGCAAATACATTCAAGGTATGGTAAAGATTCTAAAACAGAAGGTTTCTATGATAAACTGACTGATTTAGATAAGATTTTGACAGGTACTGATGAAAAGGTGATTAAAAAATTGTATGGATATTTATTAGAAATTAAACTAGAAGAACAAGAAGTTAAAGAAACAATGATTGCTTGGGGGAAGAATTTTGGATATGGGATTGATCTAGAGAAATGGCAAAAATTGTGGTCTCAAAATTATAAAATGACAATGTCAACAGCATATAAAGAAAATTTGTATAAGATGTTTTACAGGTGGCATTTCCCTCCGACAATAATAGTAAGAATGTTCAAGAACAAATCTGAAAAATGTTGGAAATGTCATCAGACACCTGGCTCATATTACCATATGTGGTGGACTTGTGCGGATGCTAAAAAATATTGGACTGAAATCCATACATGGTTGGAAAAAATGACAAAAAAGCATATAGACTTGAAACCAGAGATATTCTTATTGGGAATTTTACCAGAAATATATAGTAAAGAATTGAAATACCTGATTGTAAATTTATTAACAGCGGCTAGGATTGTATTTGCCAAAAACTGGAAAAATGAGAAAATACCATTACAGGAGGAAATCATTAAGAAAATATTGGAATGTGCTGAAATGAGTAGATTGACATTTGAAATCAGAGAACAAGATGATAAACAATTTTATAAAATTTGGGATCTATTCTATCAATGGTTAGACAATAAAACACGGAAATGAAATATGTAGATTCTTAGAGAATAATAAATATATAAAGATGTATTTTTTTCTTATTATACCTACAAAATGATTGTGGGATAGATTTGAGATGATAATATGAACTGTCATAAAACAAATTAAGTAAAATATGGATTATTTTGTAAAACATGAATGAATAAAAATATAGTCAAATGATCGATTAACAATGATATTAATGTGTTTAATATTTGATTGAAAATATGAGAATATATATAATGTAATTGTAATTGAAGACTACGAAATGGAAGCACAAAACAATTTGTAAACCAACCGACACACTGTATCTATATATATGGAAGATGGCTTGATGTTTTTATGTTTTGTTTGTCTATGTTTGTCTCAAAAACCAGTAAAAATTAAAACAAAATTAGGTCTCACATGCTGATCTGCCATGACTTACAATCGTAATTCCAGGCTTAATGGTAGATGGTTAGCCATATATTGATTTGTTTAATAAAATAAATTTGCAACATGATCTGGAAATTAACACTTAACATACTTAAAAGAAATAGAATGGAAAAAAATTGTTATTTTTGTGTTTTGAAGTTACTAGAGAAATAAACACTTTCCCCATTCCTTTTTTTTCCAGACTAAATTTGCCTCCAGACATTTTCCCACAGGTATACTTCTAGTATCTCTTATATTTCCCAATGACCTGTCTTGCCCTCAAGTGTGCAGTAATTAAGCCTGCTGATTCATTCTAAGGTTGACTGGTCTGAGGCTAGGAAACATATTGAACTATATTCCAGATACTATAAAAGAAATTCTGCACCAAAAAAAAAATAGACATGCCTGCACTAGTGAAAGAAGTCAACCAAAAGTCTCAGAATCACTAGATCAATACTGTTCACAATTCTGTAAAAAAAGAAGTACAATGGAACCTCGGGTAATGAACACTTCTGTTTGTGACCAAATTGGGTGACGACCAAAAATTTGGGGAAATTGTTGCTTCTGGTCACGAACAGATTCTTGGGTGCTGATCAAATACAGCCACGGCGATTTTCCTTGCCATGGCGATTTCCCCTTCCATGCATGTGCAGAATTGTAGGTGCATGCACAGTCAATCTAGCTTCTGTTTGCAACCAAATCGGTTTGTGACCGAAGTCCTGGAACGAATTACGGTGTGACCTGAGGTTCCACTGTATAAGGTAAAGAAATAATTCTTAATAATTCATTATAAAGGTTGTGAATAATACAGGTCTAATTCCAGGAAAGCTGAAGAGTATTACTGTATCTAGTTCAGAGAACCCAATGTCATCCCTGGGTCACCACGGCTGCCATTTCGGGAGGTGGATGACTTCAGCAATATTTCATTCATTTGAGTGTTTCTATACACTGCAATATTGCCCTAATTCTTTTCTTGTACTGACCATGACAGTATTTAAATAAGTCTATTTTCCAAGCTCCTCATTTAAAAAGCCTAGCATTCCAATAACAATGTCAGGATTTTTATATTTATTAGAGAGAAATATTTTTCTTATAAAAATGTACATTTTTACTATCATAGCAGCAGAACAATTATGTGTCTTTTAATAAGGTGAAAAGCAATGGTGTTAAAATATACAATTATTTAGATTTGAACAGCATTCAGAATCCAAGGCTTTGCATAAAAACAGCCATTTGAACAGAACTCCTTGACAAATGTATCCCCCATCTTCTCTGTCATGCAGGAATGATATAAATGTAACCTGAAAATTCTAATCTTCTGCAAAAAAAAATCAATATTCCATATTATATACATTAGGAAATCCTCCATTTTCCCTATTTAATCCTCTATAATCAGATATTCTCGCAATCTTTCTTTAGCCATCAAGCGCTAATTCAAAATAAAAGCAACTCTACAGTTCAGAAGGCGGTCTCATTCCGCTTTTATTCTTTATAACATTTAACAACACAAATCTGACCATCTCCACTTAAAAGTAAGAGCTACTTCCTATGGCAATTGCTCTCTGGGAAGTGTGTTTAGAACTGACTAGTCACATGTTTTCATAACTGACAGATTAGAATGCAACAGAACATTCTTGCATTGTTCTGTTATACTAATCACTGCATGGCAGTTTATGTAAAAACAACACAACTTGGAAAAAGCCATGATAAAATGAGGACTGTTAGTCATATGAGAATAAGGATCTGCTACCTATTTTCCTTGATCATCACAACTTCAGTCTAGACTGAAGTCATCAGTTCCATCTTATTGGATGTTACCTCATTTCTACAAGTATATATGAGGTGTGCGTCAGCTCTAATTGGATTCAGAAATCCCGCCTTCCACTTCCTTTACAGAATTAGGCCTAGGGTGGCCAGTTGGATCATTGTGATGACCTGGCCACTATTTTTTGTATCCGTATACACATACCCTTTTCTCTAAACAATTTAATCATCATTTCTTGCATCAACTAACATGCTATTGCTTTTAGGTGCCATAAGTCTAACACAGAAGGAATATTGAGTTGTGTGTTTCGGCTGTTGTTGGTTTTTTTTTTTAAGGAAGAAGTGAATCACTAGGCAGTGATGAGAACTCCCATCTCACCTTGCTTACCAATCTTTGGCTAATCCTTATTCCTGTAGCTGATTAACCACCAGACTATCACAGTGCCCTTGTATGTCTCAGCTCCCACTCAGTGACTAGTGGTTTGTTTTTTTTAAGGAAAAAAAAACCCAAACTCCTGGATAAACACAATGCAGATAAGGATGAGAAAACATTAAAATAAGAGTGTGGATTTTATACTCCCTTATTGGTCAGTTTGTGGGAGCTTTGGACAGCTCATCTAAAGAACTTGGGAGTTGCAGTGGGGATGAATGTGAGTCTCTGCGAAAATAATTATGATGATTTGGGAAGTGACAACAGCATTGTGGAAAATGCCTTACATCTTTTAACAAATCAGTTGTATCTTTACATACCATATACTGTTGTGGAATTGTAGATGATAAGGTAGTTAAATTCACATTTCTGGGATTCTATATCCAAGTCTCCAATTTTTAAGATCAGCTGTTTTCCATGAGGTACCTGAATTTTCTTTTCGCAGACAGTATGATTGGGATAAGTTCTAGGATAGTTTTTGGATGTCAGAGTTCCACTGTCTCGGTAGATGACTATAGACCCACATCCATCACCTATTTGAAGAAAGAGATGAAAATTTAAGTCTACATCAATTAAGTATATACCTCCTGCACTGCACCACACATTCAACTCTGTTAAAATGTTACTGCCCACTTACTATTCTCCTAGATTTAAACATCTGTTTTTAAAATAGGTTCTCAATTATCTCTTATAAAAAGACAGAGGGGTGTGAATCACCAATTCAGGGGTTACTAAGCTTGCATGAAAAATGTTCTTTGTTGTCAAAAATAATAGTGAGACGTGTGCCAAAGCCAATTTACCCATTCGGCACATGAGGCATAATACCCAGGGCCCATGAAAATCTCTTAATTGTTTTTTAATAATAAAGAATAAAAATGAAATAGAAAGTATTAATTTTAAGCCTTTTAATAAATATTTAATTTCATGATTTTTAGGCAAGCATGCAGGCAAGGAAGACACAATATTTGAGCATCAAACTAATGATTTTATTTGTAATTTATAGGTATAGTGACGATATTAAAATTTAGTAGATGTGTGATGTACATTACAACTAATCAGAAATGATTATTTTTACAAAATATTACATATTATACACTATTTACAATTCCCTACTTCTCTGTAAAAATACAAAGGAAATATTGAAAATCATATGAAATATATAACAAACAAAATATGCTACAGAAAATATGCTAAACTACAGTCAGAACAATGGCTTGGTGTAATGTTTTAACCCATCCCATGGCATGAACCCCTATTATAGAAAGTCACTATCCTAGACTGCCTATCCTTCACAACTCAATCTATCAATTCTTTATGATAGATTTACAACATCTATTTTTATCAAAGCTGCTGGGTGACAGGGTGAGCTCCTGTCATTTGCTTCAGCTACTGCTGACCTAGCAGTTCGAAAGCATGTAAATCTGAGTAAATAGGTACCATTTCAGTGGGCTCATTAACAGGGACATGAAATGAGCCCCCAACTATCAGGCAACTGTGATGTCACCAGCTGATCCTTTCACCATGGAAGTGCTTTGATGTTTCCCACATGGAAGTATAGGATCTATCTTTATATCAATGCTGGTGTTCCTTATGAACACTTCAGAACATTCTTGGGAAAAAAAATGGTGGTGACTACAATGTGGTGTTCTGTTTAATAATGTTACATTGACATGCCAGAAAGCATCATGAGAAACTTGAGAGAATTATGGGAAACAACCTTACCCACTTGTTGTCTATCCAACTCCTCATAGTAAGTATTTGGTGAAAGTGCCCGCAACACACTCTCAACATTTCAAATAAGGTTGGAAGTTATGACCTAAAATGTTGCTACTTTGGGCAGAGGTAGCATTGGGAGAAAGCTTGCAAGTATTACCACCGCTATATATCTAGATATTTGATCCATAGTTTGCTGATTTATATGAAGGGAAAAATCAAGATTCCTCTGGCAAAAAAGAAACATAGCCCCAGGTTTCAAATGCAATGCTGGTGAAATATACAAAGCAGCCACAACTGATTAAAAGATAGGTAGAGTTGCTTTAAGGCTTGCTGGATGGACACATGTATGCCCTGGAGATATTCTGCTTGGCTCTGGTGGAAGTATTTCTGTATAAGAAAATTGTATTTTAGTGTATATTACACTAAATCTCTTTTCTTCAACTGAAAATGCTTGAGTGTCATTTAAATTGGACAGCGATCCACTAAAGATCACATTATAATAAACTGATCGGTCTTTAAGAAGTCATAAGGCTTTTGAATGCTCTGATTTGTACAAGTGTAACACCCACTTGTTAATGTCAAAAAGCAAGTCTCTTCTCAAGGAATTTGTGTTTGGTCTTCTTCAATTAATGGAATAACCTAAAGGAATAATGTCAGCATTTAATAGGAAGTGGGTGGAGTAATTTGGAGTAATTTTTCAGCTGAGTAGCATGGTGTTTCATCTACTTTGGCTTCCATGTTAACTAAGCTAAAGGGTTAAATTCTCAAGCAGATTTTTCAGGAAACAGCTCCAGTTTTCTTTCCTGAGTGGAACCTTCAATTCAAGAAATATTAGGCCTCAAGAAATGGCATTGTTTGTGGCTTAACTCTTTCTTCTCTTTTGTTCCTCAGATTGGATCTCTATCCCATTTTCTTTTCACAAGCACAGCAATGTTAAAGTTCCTTGTCTGAATTTTATCCAAGGAAGAAAGGGAAGGAACATCAGCCCAAAGAAAATAGGACCAGTGATTTTCACTTTTGCTTGCTTCCAAAATAATTATGAAACTACTGTTCTTACAGTAATTGCTTACTATGTTTTACAAGAAAGAGATGGGAATTATTTGATGGGGACAGTGTTCTTGTGTATATTCTACAGTATTATGTCAGAGAGTTCAATCTACTGTATTGAAACACATTTAATTTTAAGCAAACTGTTCATTCCACTCTGGGTTCCACATAGGTGCCATGTTGAACCACAATTCTCTATTTTGGTTATAAAACAGAGAATTGTATTTTCAAGATTAACATCCAAGAGAAAAGAGGAAGGATGGGCACTACTTCTTCTTCTAACTTGCTAAACTATGGTTTAGCACACCAGGACTATATATTCCAAACAATCTGATATCTGGAGGTAGCAATCTTTATTTGACCAAAGATTGCATGCTTGCAGAATTGGTCTCTTGATGGTCATCACATGGTAATATGGCTGGGTCTAAAGGACGCATTAAATAAAAATGGCTTTACAGCCCTTTCTAAGCAGTTTACTGTGTGAGCATATTGACCCCAACAATCTGGGACCTCATTTTACTAACCTCGAAAGGATGGACGGCTGAGTCAACCTTGAGCTGGTCAGGATCAAACTCCTGACTGTAGGCAGTTAGCCTGCAATACTGCATTCTAACCACTGTGCCACCACAGCTCTTATGCCAAATTTTGGCTTGCTATCTTATACAACAACCACATTTTGTAAATGAAAGTTTATGATTTAGTATCTTGTACAAATCCAACTAACTATAATATATTTAATAAGTGATGGGTTAAACAAATTATGTCTTAGTGCAATATGTGAACCCAATCATCATCTTATACAGTTTTACAAGCTAAAATGTAAAGCAATGATGCAGGATATTTTTTTTTTTAATTTTATTTTTGGGATGCTACCCAAGATAATACAACACATTGCACCATTTTTATTCTTTCTAAAGCATTCAGTCACAGTAAGACAGAAGAACTTGAAGCAGTTCTTAACATATTTGAAATTCAAGAAGGATCACTTAAAGTTAAAATGTTAATTCTCACCCTGGTTGGATTCCTTCCACTGGCTTGCCTTCTATTCCTTGTAAGAATAATTAAAAATTGACAAGGACTAATTTTCTAAATTACAGTTAATTAATAAATAAATATATTGGGAAACCAGTATTATAGTAATCAACCATTGTGCATTAAATCTTGCTGACAAACCTTAGAAATAAATCATATTGTATAACACAGAACCTGTATAACAGTGGAACAGATCTGGGTCTACTATCTGTTAAGTTTTTTAAGAGGCCGGATACCACCTCTCAGCCTCCGCATACCCCCTGCGCATGTGATTCTCCCCCACCACCCCCTTACCTGCACTGTGCATCCCAGCTGATTTTTTGCCTGTTTGAGGCCTTTTTTGGCCTGCCAGAGGCTTGAGGCAAGCCTCTGCAGGCTTTGCAGGATGGAAAATGGGTCCATTTTGTCACTTCTGATATTTCCAGAAATACAGGAAGTGATGAAATGGGCCTATTTTTTGACATGCAAAGCCTGCAGAGGCATCCCTCAAGCCTCTGGCAGGCTGAAAAAGGCCTGAAAATCAGCTGGGAGACGTGTGTATGCACAGTGAGGTAAGTTTGCCTGGGACCCGCATGCCCACACAAATGGCTCTGTGTGCCACCTATGGTACATGTGCTACAGGTTCGCCATCACAGAACTAGATGATGCTCATGGTCCCTTCCAACTCTGAATTCTATTATTTTGTGTTGCTCTGCTTTACTGGTTAGCAGTTAACTCTGACTATTGTTTTACATAGTAAGCACAAACAATAACAGAGAATCTTTGCTCATCAGTCTATCCTCCATTTTATTTCAAATCAAGCCACACATCAGATAAATGTTTGGGGTTATCTATTTTAATACAAGGTATAACGTCTCATTATCTGACTTACTCTTTATAACAATACACCTGTAATGCTGACGAGGAAGAAGCTGAGATACAGGCACTGCTCAACCTAAGGTCACCTTCCAAACTCATTACAAATCTGAGTTTGAAACAACTGACCTCTCAGCACTCATTCTTAAGCAGCTATACTTTGTAGCATAAATATATTTCCTGCTTTTTAAAAGATATAACAAACAAAAGACTGTTTTCATTCATGCTTGGTTTCGTCCAAAGTGAAAGACAGGTCTAAGATATAGCTAGTCTACAAAGTTATTAAGAAATTGTACATACCGTACACCTATTACTTCTTTGCTGCACTGAATACAATCTGAAAATTGCAATACGTGGTAACTAATGCAGTTTGCAAAATTCTGTGTTTAAGCTGTAGATGTCTTTATCAGAACTGCTGTCTTATTTCCTTAAATACATTTTTTCCTATCACATATTTTGTGTATTATCTTCTTGAAAATTTAGAATCTTACCCTACTCTTTTTTTAAGCAAACTACAGCAATAGGTTCTAATTGATGTATTGACCAAACTATGGATTTTGTATTTTCTCCCCAACCCCCCAAAAATAGTTCTTTTATAATCTTATAACTAGATAAACAGATAAAGCTGTTGTGGATTAACAGGGTCAAACAATATAAATCACCCAAATCAACTAATATATTATAACTCAAGGTTCTATTTGCAAAGCCATGTTTTCTAGCTATATTAGACAAACCAAAGGTCAAAACAAACAGGAATCTCTCCCCTTTTAAATTGTTGTAGAGCAGTGGTTCTCAACCTATGGTCCACAAATCCCTAGGAGCCCCACAGTATCATCACAGGGAGTCCATGAAGGCTTTAAGACATTTTATGATTTAAATCTTGAGTTAAGTCTTGGGGGTCTGTCCATGGCCACAAAAGGTATTTAAAGGGGGTCCATGGGGAATAAAAGATTGAGAACCACTGTTGCAGAGTATTTGGCCATCATGTAAGACATCTACATACATCCTTCAATATTTTTGTTTAACTATTGCAACTGGGTATTTTTATTTTTCTTAATTAACAGACTATTAAGACAGCCTTCCTTCTAAAATTGTGGAAGTTTATAACTTCATAGGAAACAAGAACCATCCTGTATGTCAAAAAGTCAGCAACTTTAGAACACTGCATTTCCAGTTTCATTTAAGGGAACCACTTGCATGTGCTAACCTGTATCCACCGATCATCTATTTCTGAGTTACAACTGATTGTTCTGATAGTGGAAATTCCCACAAGGTACAAATAGCAAAGTTCACCTAAAGCTAATCCCTCTAAAAGGAAAGCAAATTAAGGGTACACCTTACTACACAGCAGGATTTCTTTTTGAGACTATGCTATAGAAAAACTAGTTTGAAGTTGAAAAGCAAGCAGCTTGCTTGCTTTTCTTAAATAAAGAATTGCTAATCTTAAATCATGTTCCTGAAACAGGTCCACAATCTGGGATTTAATTTTGCAGGGAAAACCTGAAAGGTACGCTAGAGAAATTAAAAGTGACAAATTCCAAACACCTTAAAAAAATACATCTCACACACCATGCTTTTTAAAGATTAAGAGTGATATCCGGGAAATCACACTTAATCACACTTGTAGATTATTATTTTTTTTAGATGAGACCCAGCTTCTAGAAGATAAAATGCCATTTGGTAATACGTGCTTGAATTAACCAGCGTTGATACCGGTATCAGTACAATGTTTCATTTCAACACAGTATTTATCAAGTTTTAGATACACAAGTTGGAATGAGACCCAGCAGAATCTTATCTCAGCATGGCCCACAACCCTGTTCAGGCATTCATAAACATGAATGTGCTAACTCCATTCATTCCACTCACAGCTTTCTCCACATTGCTCAGGAAGTCTCTTTTTGCAGTCAGGTGGAATCTCCATCTTTTCCATGACTGTGCCGGTATTCTAAAACTAGAAACTGAATGCGGATGCTGATTTTTCTTACTCCGTGGGAAAAGGGTAATAAACGTGTAAGGCAGGAAAACCCCACAGCTCAATATGGCTACCTCACTTCTGAGCAATACACGTGCCCATCTCTAATTTACCAAGGTACCCTACAAACAAGGTGACGTTAATAAAGATTCAAATGTACATGCCAGAAGAGCGCTCTTTATGACATTCGAGAAACCAAAAAGCTTTAAAAAAAAAAAAAAAAAAACACCAACTACCTCTACCTCCAGAATGCTGAAGTTCAAAGAGTTGGATCAGAAACTTTTAAGAGCCCAATTATAGTTATTAATAGATACAAACTCAGCTGTTTTATCCCCCGAAAGCTGCAGGGTATAAAGAGAAATATATGCGCGTGGGAACCACAGGATTAAAAAAAGAAGAAGCTGCAGACCGTATGGTAACAACACAAATCCTAACTCCGGCAGATTATTTCAGCCCACAACTTCTAGCCTTCGGTTGAGCCTCAATTCGAGATTTTTTTTTTTTTGAAAGAGCAGCCCGTTGCACCGAAACAAAACAAAACAAAGCAGGTTTTAACCCGCCGTTCCAAATTCCAACGTTTTTGAAAGATGCCCTGAGATCAAAGTTAAGCTGAAGGTTGCAAAGACCTCTAGAAACCTTGAACACTCTTACGATCTCCGGGATAAAAAGAGCTTCGTTCGTCCGAAAAGGGAAGAAATATCTGGCAATGCAAAAGTGCTCGTTCGCTCGGTCCACAGAGAAGAGATCCTGCACGTACGAATAATGCCTCTTGCGGGCGCGTCCATCCACCTCCAGTGTCTCTCATACCCTCCCCCCACCCACCCACTTCCCCGCTCCTCGCTCCACTAGCCTTTCCTATTCCAAACGTGCGAACCGGCAGGCAGGCAGGCAGGCCGACTTACCGAGCTTCTCCGCCGAGCTCCCGGACAACAAAGCGGGCAGCAAAAGGAGGACACCCAGTCCACGACTGCGGCCCATAGTCTCCAGGACCTGCGCCCGGGGAGGCCCTTCTCCCGGCGCTTTTCAAAAGTCGCTGCCGCGCCCGGCCGGGGAAAGGTTTGTGCGCCGCAGCCGCTCGTTTTCCTTCAAAGGACGCGTCCAACCCTCACGCCAGATGGGCAGCGCTTCCCTCTTCGCTGACCCTCCCTCCCTGCCGTGGGGCGAAGGAAACGAGGAAGGAAGAAAGCAAGGAGCACGGCTCTTCGGAAGAAGGCGGAGCCTAGGGCCAGGCCCCTCCCCCTGAATCCTTGTGGGAAAAGCATCTGTAGTCTTCTTGTCCACCGCGTGGCGGTCAACCCCCCCACCACCACCACACACACACACACACACACACACACAACACACACAAACACACACTTTGGAAAGAAAAGCGGCTTTTTTTGGAAGAAAAAAAATAACATGGTTGTTGGGGAGGAAAGCGGATCGAACTTTTAATAGTAAGCTCGATTTCCTAAGCAGGAGTCCCTCACCCCAACACCTCTCCATTTCCCCATGAAGAATACTGCGATTATTCCTGGATCCTCTCTCACGGCGCGTTTGATATTGCATGGCTGTTCCAGAGCATGTACTAAACGCCTTTTCTTTGAGTTTTGAGTAATTACTGAACATGTATGTAAACCTGAAATCTCTGCAAGTGATTATTGGGGATTCCTGTAAATTACACCCTTTTCCTCTCTAAATTTTCCTCCCTTTTGGCAAAGAAAAATCTTGTTTTGTGTATTTATTGTAAGCAAGTAGACAAGTCTTGATAGTCATAGTTTTAGAAAAATGTAGGGTAAGAAACCTTGTTTTATGTACAAAGTATTATGGCCACCCGCTAAGGAATGGATAAGAAACGGGAACCCCATATACCTCTATCTGAAGAATATGAATACTCAGTGGAAATCATCCTTCAATCCAGTAGTGGGATTCAACTTTTTTTACTACCGGTTCTGTGGGTGTGGCTTGATGGGCGTGGCAGGGGAAGGATACTGTGATGACCCAAAGTGTATCACAACCATAACAAAATCCAAAATGTAAATAAATGTCCTTTAATGCCTCCAACTTGGCCCCACTGTTAATAATACTCAGTTGGAGATAAAACGTACTCAAAAATAGTCTTCAAAAAAAAGCAATACAGTCCGAATTTAATGAGCAGATAGAGGTGAAATAAAAAACCAAACAAACTACAATGATGAAATTTCCACAATGGAACAGGAGAAGTATTTACCAAATTCAAGGAGATAAAAAGGCACAGTCTGGTTGGAAGGATGCCAACCAAGATAACTTCAGACCAAAATAAAACACGCTTTGTTTCCAGCGTTTGCCAGTACACAGGTCCAAACTCTTATGCAGTTCTCACACCTGCAGCCCATGAAGAGGATCAAGGCCCTCTCCTCCCGAGTAGACCACGTCTCTCCCTTATCCTCTCCTCCCTGCGTGCCCTAGGATGGATAGGGGATGGGCCTGGGTCCTCCTCTGATTGCTCAGCTGACCTCTGTCCTTCCCCAGCCTCCTCCACAACCTCCAGAGCCACACTTCCACTCCCTGTCCCTGTTGGCTCTTCCTCCCCTCCCTCAGTCAGTCTCCACCAGGGGCATGACAGATACTGTAAAATCTCCAATCAGAAGTGGTATTTGCCGGTTCTCTGAACCACTCAAAATTTCTCCTACCGGTTCTCCAGAACTGGTCAGAACCTGCTGAATACCACCTCTGCTTCAATCCTCTGGGGAAATCATGGCAAACCGAAGACAGCGCTACAAAAGCAGAAACCACAGAGCCAGTGAGGAGACCTGTTCCTTTGAACCACTCCAGATAAGGAGAATGTTGGGAGATTGCTCATATATGCTTTGGGGGTTGTCCCTTGCAAGGAGACCTCAAACAGTGATTTTCTGCAGGTTTGAGCACCTGGAGATAACGGGATCAGCCATCTTGCTCACAACATGGTCAAGCATTTTAAAACTGCTTAAGTTCATAAACCTCAACTTTCTAATTATTTTCAAAAATTACTCATTCGCTACTTCTAAGCTGTTAGATATCTTGAGGCCAACAGGTCCAAAAACACCAGAGGAGCCTGCCTTCAATCGTGACTGAAAGAAATATTTAATCATAAGCTCAGGAATTTAAAGAATCTGAAACCAACAGCAAAAATGTAAATAAGATTTTGATCTTAGAAATTTGTAAACAGACTATGTCAGATAAAAACTGGAACATTGAAACTTTTACAACAAGATTTTGTAATTAATTACAAAAAAAACCAAACAGCTTCTCATAGGAAATAGATCCTGTTTAGTTTTTTTGCAAGATCCAACAAAGACAACAATCTTATGATTTCAAAAACTGGGCAAATAGAAGGGACTAATTCTTTTAGATAGAGGAAAGATTTACATACCTGCAAAATGTTCTAACAATAAAAGTATTATAGGAGACCTTTGAAGAATGAAATCAGAAAAGAGTAGCCACAATGTCAGTAATGATGTTTACTTCTATGGATAGACTTTGCCCCCAAAGTTGTTATTGAAGAAATGACAGATATCTAACAAATGTTGTCAAGGAAGGCAGAGATAGGTGTGGATATACAATTGACAGGCCAAAAAATGACGTAGAAAAGGGTGTTTTGCTTGACCTACAAAAGAAATTAACCGTGTCTTTAAAATTTCAAAGGAATTTTAAAAACCAATGACAAAACCAAGAGAGTAGCAAGAATGAAGAAATATTTATATAGGAACCCTTAAACTCTCAGATACAGGATTCAAGATTCAAGAAGACATATATCACCCATAGGAGTGAGAAGGCATGTGTGTGTGCACGTGTGTGTGTGTGTGTGTGTGTGTGTGTGTGTGTGTGTTCCATGGGGGATCAAAAGAATCCAGGATTTTAAACTTTCCTTTTTATTATCAAATCTAATTGATAGCATGTTACAGTGCCATCTGCTGGAAAGCAAAATGAATCTTAAATTCACTTCCCAGCCAGGAAGAAAACTTAGCTTCTGGAGCATTTCCCAGATTTTGTATATAGACATAACTTAGAGAATTTGGGTCAGCATTGCTTTTATCTCTTATGGCCAATCATATCTTATTTGCTCCAAGATGAAGACGGGTCTCCTACATTTTGGAAGAGCACTAATGTATGATGTCAACTCAGCTTGCCCCAGACCTTCCTCTGACTTTTTTGGCCTCACCACAATAGTAAAATGTTTCCCTTTTTGCTGGTGAAAGAAGGTCATCCAATCCACTTGTACGTACAATACTTCATTATTAAATTCTGATTTATCATATTTTACTGCCAGTACATTTTAAGTATATATTCAATATTTCTCTTAATATAAGAACCATTCAAAACTAAATCCCTATGCAAACAATTTTTCTCTTGATTACATTTAAGCTTCTCATTTTCCTCCTGCTACATACGGAATAACTTATTACTGAATATGAAATGAGGAAATGAGACAACTGTCATACTTTATTCCAACCACAGGGTGTCACCATTATCCTACTATCTATCTGTCTGTCTGTCTGTCTACATACACACGTATGTGTTTATATATATATATGTATATATGTGATATTCAGCTTTGTTCGGGTATTTTCCCACGTCATTATAGTTGTGCTTTTAAAGTTGTAAAGTTGTAGCAACCTTTCGGCAGAATCTCATCTGCCATCATCAGGCTTCTGTATTGTATTGTGTATTCTGTATTGTGCACAGAAGCCTGATGATGGCAGATTCTGCCGAAACGTTGCTTCAACTTTAAAAGCACAACTATAATGATGTGGGAAAATACCCGAACAAAGCTGAATACCATATATGTAAGTACCCGCGAAAACTTAAGAAAATATATATATATATATTGGTAGTTGTTTGTTTGTTTCCGTTTCCATGGTGAACTTGATTTTGGGGTGTGTGCTGTTTAGGTGTGTTAGGAAATTGTTTAGGTTTTCTTTTCCATGGGGCCAAATCACAAATGTGTCATTGATGTATCTTAACCATAGTTTGGGTTTGTGGGTGGCATTAGCCAGGGCTCTGGATTCGAATTTTTCCATGAACAGGTTTGCAATGACGGGTGACAGTGGTGATCCCATAGGGGCTCCTTCAATTTGCTTGTATCTTTGTCTTTTGTATATAAAATGTGTGTGTGTGTATGTGTGTGTGTGTGTGTGTATGTATGTATATGTATATGTGTATACACACATACACATATATACACATACATACACACACACACACACACACACATATATATATACACAAATATACATATACATATGTGTGTGTATGGTATATATAGCTTTCATATGAAGTAAATAACATACAGAGATGAATATTATTTTCTTATTGAAATTAATCATTTGCATGACAAAATATTTATAATCAGATTAAATAATAATTTAAAAAAACATACGAGCTGGCCTGAACATCATGAGATCATATATAGCAAGAGAGATCATGAATGTAATGTCAGTGAAAGTTATCTGTTTATAAGGCAAATTATGTCTCAGATGACTTCTGTGACCCTTGTTCTTTCTAAGAAGGAATTTGAACCTCTGATTTTGTGATGCGATTCTGAAGCCTGAAACTGTCCTTGAGTGCAAAGAGGACCTATGCTTGAACTAAGAAGAAAATGCCATGAAAATGTCAGTAATAATAACTATGTTGACTCTGTGACAGAAGAACACCTCTGTTTCTGTCGTTCCAGTTGGATGCAACTAGAGTTCACACAATTCCAAGCCTGCAATACTTTTGGTCTGAGAAATAGGAACGACGGAAGAATCTAGGAATTATGTAGAACAGGATATTGGAGAGGTCTGAGTTCAGTTTAAATAATGAAATGGCTGAAACTAGCATTATCTGTTGGTCCTCGCAAAATAATGTTACCCTGTCCTCTACACAGTACACAAAAGAATGGTATGGTAATTTCCTCTCTCCATTTTTTTGTATCTTTCATTGCTTTCCGTTTTCACAAAAGTGAGGCAATGTTTATTAAAGCATCTTACTATATCAATGTTTGTTTTGTAGCAGCAATGAACCTTTACACACACACACACACACACACACACAGTTCTCTTTTGCTACTAAGGCATAACATGCTTATGAAATGTGGAGAATTGACAGCCATGGCATGGTTAAACATATCTGATGCTGTATAAGCTTTCATCCAGGCATACTTTCCTGGT